GATACTCGATTCGAACGCCAAGACCTACGACTTGGTCTTACAACGATGCCCAGCCAGTAGGAGTAAACCACCCCGCCGGCCAAAACCTACGAATTGGTCTTACAATCGGGTATCACCAGCCAGAACCTACGCCCTAGTCTTACGACTCTCAAGGGAGACTACCCAACGAGTACGTTCTATAGCTACAGGGATAACCGTTCGGTGGCCGATACAGCTCACACCGAAGGCTACATGATTCACATGCATACCTTGATCATACCACAATTAAAGCAGTACTAACATTTAAAGCATAGTAATTTTTCAAAACCCACCTGGAAATCGCGGTAGAATATTGCACACAAAATCAAGTACGTAGGTCGAGGCTCGACTCCTCAAACACTTACATTTAAGCGAGATAATTTATTAATAATCTATCTCACTACTCGAATTTAATATAAAACCCACACTTAATAAAAACTAAGACTCATGGGTTTTTAATCGGATTTTTCGCGGACTTGGAACTCTCTCATTTTTAAAAAAATAAGACTCGGAGAACAAAAATTGGAATCTCGAGGCTTACAATAATTTTTCTCATTGGAAAAATAAATTTTTAAAAATAAGTTCGGAAAAACGGGCTCCGAAACACAAAAAGGGTCAAGACGGCGAACTGGGCCACGCTGGCCATTGACCACAACATTCTACTCCGGAGATGGGCCTGGGCACGCGAATTTGGGCCGAATTTGGCTTGGCCCAATTCTGTAAGGCTGCTGGCTATGAGGGCTGGAATTTGGGCTGCTCGCGGGCCAGGATCGGGCCGCTCGTGCCGCTTGGAGTCATCAAAGGCTTGAAAAAAAAATGAATTGCGGGAATCAAGGTTCGAACCCCTGACATCTTCACAAGAGGGAGAAGAGAACGCCACTGAACCACAAGCTCTACTTGCAAATTATTGTGTAATCTTACATTACTTAAAATTAAAACCTGTGGTATGAATTGAAAACAGAGAGAAATAAAAATCGAACAGAGCTGCAAATTTTTACAAAAATCAAAACCAAAGCCTGGGACCTAATAAAGAACAGAGTACAGAGCTGGGAAGAAAAATACAGAGGCTCGCGTAATTCGATCGGCTTAGACCGAAACTCGACTGGAACTTGACGGCGACAAATTCAACGACAACAGGGGTTCGAGAATTTAAAACATTGATGAATTAAACATATTTTCAGATTTCGAAATATTTATAAAAAAATGGGTTTTATTTCGAAAAACAATACGACCAAAATAAATAACAACGAGGGCTCGGAACATAGACGAATCAGCAAGACGATTATGGCTCGCTAACAGAACGAAGCTCAAAATAATACCATATAAACACAGCATCCAAGAGTTTGATTATCACAGAAACGAGAGTCTCGAGTATCCACGAAGATTCACGATTACAACACAACGAACAAACGAATATACTAACCGATAAACAATCCACCGCAAAAGACGAGAAACGATACAACAAGTACAATAATATCAATGAGAACACAAATACGAGTACGAACGAGGGAATTCAATGAAAGATCACCCGTCTTCGGGAATCTACGATTTATCGGACAACGGGTCGGAACGGGCGTGAAGAACGAAGCCTCGACAGGACCCGGAACTCTGAACACGGGGACTGAGGGCTGCCTGTGAACGGTTTTCGGGGCCTATCGGAGACTGACAATGGTTGCCGGCAGCAGGAGATGCCCCGCTGGAGTGCTCGCCTGAATTAATGGTGTCCTCGGCTATGGCGGACGGCTGCTGGACAAGGACTGCTCGCGAACAGAGTGGGCGTGCGGTGAGGAAGACAGTCGCCGAAAGAAGAGGATGCTCCTGAAAGGGTGCGACGGTCGCCGGAGTTAGGGAAGTTTTTGGGAACAATGGCGACAGGCTTATTTATTTGCGAGTGAGAGAGAGATTAAACTGTATAGTTTGAACGATTCTCAAAACTCCTCTACCGATATATAATGGACGAGTGAGATAAGAACGTGTGGGGTTAATTCGTGAAAATCGAAACAAGAAAATCTGATACGGACGACCTAGTCCGCGAAGAAGAAGACCGAGAAGATTTTGAGCGATTTAACTTCTTTTCCTTGGGCCAAGTCTCAAATAATTAAATGGGTTACCAAAAATTATGATATTTGGGCCAAGTAGGAATTGGGGGGCAACCCCCCCCCCCCCCCCCTCCATAACTCAATTGCTGAACATTAAAAGAGCTAGGTACGCGCGGGTTTTCGGGCTCGGCTACGACTTTGGTCAAATACGAGGCTCAGTTCGATCGCTACGATAAATAAAATAAAACCGAGAAAATTATTATATATATATAATACATTTTATTTAAATATAATACACATAATATTATTTAGTAATACACATTAATCACATTTAACCAATTAGACACATTAGACAATTATAATATTATAATAATAATAATAATAATAATAATAATAATAATAATAATAATAATAATAATAATAATAATAATAATAATAATCAAATAACAATTAATGAGAATTAGACATTTAGCATTAATATTTATACTAACAACAGCAATAATCAAAAAGGCAAATTGGATAATAATAATAATAATAATAATAATAATAATAATAATAATAATAATAATAATAATAATAATAATAATAATAATAATAATAATAACAATAATAATAATAATAATAATAATAATAAAGACAATAAATAGTAAATAACACAGTTATTCCATATTCAAACGGTGTATTACAACGATGCTCTGATGATAACAACTCAGGTTTCGGGATATGAGGTGCAAAGAGTCTTTGTTGACACATGGAGTTCAGTAAATGTGATCTATTATGACTGTCTCAAAAGAATGGAGCTCAACATAAAGCTCACACCTTTACACACGCCTCTCTTTGGATTTAACGGATCAGAGGTCGCGCCCCTAGGAGAGACTATGCTCGCTGTCGTCCTAGGAGAAGGTGACTTACGAAAGGTGAAGATTGTAAGAGTTGTGGTAGTTGACGTCGAGTCGGATTATAATGGTATCCTCGGGAGGCCAGCATTGAATGCGTTTCAAATTGTGGTATCGACTTACCACATGAAGTTGAAATTTCCTGTCGGAGATCGAGTGGGAGAAGCTCGAGGAGATCAGAAGCTGTCCAGAACCTGCTACCAGATAGCAGTAAAATCCAACCAACGAGCCGAGATAAAGGAAGGAAAGAAGCCAATGTCGAGCGAGAAAAGGCCGAGGGGAAGTGACCTCGAGCTGCATGGAGAGTTGATGGAAATACAAATTGGAGAAAGGGAGGACCAGACTACTAAGTTTGGGAAAGATTTGGAGGACGAGTTACGAAGTCAACTCGTGCGTTGCTGAGAGAATTCAGGTATATATTCGCTTTCACCCCTGAAGATTTGACGGGAATTGACCTTGAGATCATGGAACACAAACTCAATATCGACCCCCTCAAAAAGCCGGTGAAGCAACGACTCAGACACCACGGTTCAGAAATCGACAAAGCCATTGAAGTCGAAGTGGACAAATTCCTGCGAGCAGGGCACATCAAGGAAATCCAGTTCCCCGAATGGATATCCAACACAGGAATGGTGAGGAAGGCATTGAACAAGTGGCGCATGTGCATCGACTTACGGAACCTGAACCTCGCGTGTCCAAAAGATCATTATCCCTTACCTAGAATCGACCAGCTCGTCGACTCTACGGCTGGTTGCGAGTTGTTAAGTATGATGGATGCATCCTAGGGGTATCATCAAATTCCCTTAAACCCCGAGGACCAGAGCAAGGTGAGTTTCGTGATGAGCAAGGGGACATACTGTTACGTCGTCATGCCGTTTGGACTTAAGAACTCAGGGGTGACTTACCAGCGGTTGATGGATCGAATGTTTAAACCCCAAATTGGGCAAAATATGGAAGTATATGTCGACGACATCCTTGTAAAGAGCAAATCTTTAGCTTCGCATCCAGACGATTTAAGGGAAACGTTCAAAACCCACAGAACGTTTGGGATGAAGTTGAACCCAAGCAAGTGTGCGTTTGGAGTAAAAGCAGGACAATTCCTGGGATATGTCGTCACGGAACAAGGGATTGAGGTAAACAAGGACAAGGTAAAGGCCATATTCGACATGGCCTCACCATGAAACATAAGAGAAGTACAGGTCCTGACGGGGAGGATTGTGGGCCTGAGTAGGTTCATTGCCCGAGCAGCCGAGAAGAGTTTTCCTTTTTTCAAATTGCTAAAAAAGAAGACGACTTTCCTATGGAATGACGAGGCGCAAATAGCGTCCAAAAAGCTGAAAGAATTCTTGAATGAATTGCCCTTATTAACCAAGCCTGAACCTGGAGACGAGTTGGTCTGTACATCTCGGTGGGAGCAGTTTCGTTGAGTTCGGTCTTAATGCGAGAAGAAGGAGGCTCCCAACAGTCGATATATTATACCAGTCGGATACTCCAAGGAGCCGAGACGAGGTACTCCGAATTCGAGAAGGCTGCCCTAACTCTTGTGATAACTGCGAGGAAGTTGAGATTTTCTGAATCATACTGTATTAGTAAGGACAAATTTCCAACTGGGGGAAACATTGGGTCGGCCTACTGTCTCAGATCGACTGGTAAAGTGAGAAGTCGAGTTGAGTGAATACTCCATCAGATACGAACCACAACGAGCTATAAAGGCCCAGGCTTTGGCGGACTTTATCCAAGAAGGCACCAAAAGAGAAGAAAAGAAGTGGATCATGCATGTCGATGGATCCTTTGCGGCTAGAGGATCTGGTTTGGGAGTCGTCCTCGTGTCTCCCGAGGGCTAGCAACTCGACTTTGCCATTAGAATGGGGATCAAGGCCTCAAACAATGAAGCTGAGTATGAGGCACTAATCAAAGGGATCCAACTCGCAATTGGGGGCGGAGCAACAGAAATCGTGGCGCACTATGACTCATAACTCGTCGCAGGATAGGTGTTGGGAAATTGCGAAATAAATGAGGATAGAATGATGAAATATGTCGAGGAAATCCAAAGCCTAGTACAAGGATTGGAGAAATTTAAACTAACACAAGTCCCGCGAGAGGAAAACAAGTGAGCAGATCTCGCAAGAATTGCGAGTTCGAAAGACGGGAGAATGGGAAATTCCATAACCACCATGCATTTCGAGGGGAGCGTGTTGGGCGAAGCAATGGAATTTGAGGAAAAGGATGATTGGAGGAAGTCTATTCGCGAGCTCCTGCAGGGTCGAGTGCCTATGGGAGATAAGCAAGATGCAGAAAAAGTTGCTCGATATCTAAGCAAATACTTTGAAGTCGATGGGATAATGTTTAAAAAATCACTGGTCGGGCCCCATTTGCGATGCGTTTCTGAAGAAGAAGGAACTCATGTCCTGAAGGAGATACACGAAGGATGTTGTGGAGCACACATAGGGTCCCGAGCTCTAGCTGGAAAAGCCTTGCGAGCAGGCTACTATTGGCCTAAAATTCGAGCAGCGACAGAACAGTTGGTCCAGAAATGCGAAAGATGCCAACGCCATGGGCAAATCACTCACATCCCAGCTGAAAATATGACAAAAATCAACACTCCAATCCCCTTCGCTCAATGGGGAATCGAATTAGTGGGCCCGTTGCCAATGGGAACAGGACAAAGGAAGTTCTTGGTGGTCGCCGTCGATTACTTCAGCAAGTGGGTCGAGCAGAACCCTTGGCGAAAATCAACGAAGAAAGAATGATGCAATTTCTGTTTAACAATATCTGCTGTCGATTTGGAATTCCAAAGGTGTTGATTTCAGCTAATGTACGCAATTCCAGAGAAAACAGATTCAAACATGGTGCCTCGACATGGGGATCAAACAATGATTTGCCTCAGTTGCACATCCACAAGCAAACGGCCAAGTTGAAGTAACAAACAGAACCATTCTTCAAGGACTAAAGAAGAGATTGGAAAAGGCGTCATGAGTTTGGGTTGACGAGCTGACAACAGTCCTGTGGGCTTATAGGACGACTCCGAGAAGCTCAACGGGCTAGTCCCCATTTTACATGGTCTACAGAATGGATGCACTCCTGCCCATGAAGTCAGCATGAACTCTCACAGGTCGACATTTTATGAAGAAAAGAAAAACAAGGAGATGATTGAGGAAGCCCTCGACCTGATCGAAGAGGGATGAGAAGAAGCTTGGGTGCGATCCGTCGAATACAAACAGAAGATGCGCGCCGCGTTTGACAAGAAAGTCTGAACCAGACGGTTCCAGGTGGGAGATCTCATCCTCAAGCGAATAGACGCCCTCAAACGTGTCGGGAAGCTTGAAGTTAATTGGGAAGGACCCTACACTGTCACGAAAGTACTCGAGAGAGGTGTCTATGAACTCGATGATGGGGAAGGTCGACAACTGTCGCGGTCTTGGCACGTGATTCACCTCAAAAGTTTTTATGCTTAAGGCATATTGCAGACTCCTTTCTGTACTGAACAATATTCAAATCAAATTCAGTAATGAAATGAATCTCAAGTTTACGCTTCAATTATGTCTTTTACATTTCCATGTCGACCTTACTATGATAACTGGAAAAATTGAATTTTTCAAAATAGCTATGTAGCCGATTAACTCCAATAACTACGAAGTCGACTAAGCAATTACGAAGTTGTATTCTCAAGTGGATTATCGATAAGGCTATGAAGCCTGCGACTACGAAGTCGATTTCACACAACTTAGAAGTTGTATTCTTGAGTGGAGTCTCGATAAGGCTACGAAGCCTACGACTACGAAGTCGATTTCACACAACTACGAAGTTGTATTCTCGAATGGAATCTCGGTAAGGCTACGGAGCTTACGACTACGAAGTCGATTTCACACAACTATGAAGTTTTATTCTCGAGTGGAATCTCGAGTAAGCTATGAAGCCTACGACTATGAAATCAGACTTACACAACTACGACGCTACATACTTGAAGAAAAATTCAAATCTTGGCGTATCATTTAAAACAACCACGAAATGTCTGAACAAAAATGACAACACGACTATGAAGCTAATTATACGAAAAATGGAACCACAGTAAATAATCTCGCGTTTGTCAGCTACGATGTTGCTTGAAGCTGTTAAAATTGTTGCTCGACGTTGCCCAGCTCGCAAGCCGAGTTGGGAGAAGACGAGTTGAAAAACTTTCGTTTACCAGCTACGAAGCTGTTAAAATTGTTGCTCGACTTCGCCCAGCTCGCAAGCCGGGTTGGGAGAAGATGGGTTTGTAAGTGCTGAAGATTGGCAGTAAATCGATGAACCTTCTGATGTTCGTAGAGTCCAGAAATTTACGGAAGTATTTAAGGGAAGTTTATCTTTGGTATGAATTAGTTTTAATTATAATTATGTTCAAAGGACTGATTATTTATTTTATTAGTTTGGCAGGACTTTGGGATTGAGGGGGAGATACGCTTTCCATAATCTAGAGTGAAGGGAGATCGCGATATACACTTTCCATAATCAAAGCTGAAGAAGCTCAGGAGATTTACATTCCTTATGCGCATTTGTCTTAAGTGAAAAGACTTCCCATATGATGCTAAATATAAAAGGAGGACGAGACCAGAGTTGAGGATGACTTTTGGATTTTCAAATTTTTCAGTTTCATATTTGTTTTCTTTTCTTGAGTGATAAGCACAACATATTAACTTTTGTAACAGAATGTTCGGAGGTTCATTCTGATTTAGTTTGAGGGATTCGAACTAAAAAATCCACAAGGGAGTTGTGGTCAGATAAGTAGTTGTGTGAATCATTATTCAAGTAGAGTGTAGAGGGAGTCTCTACTGTAAACCCTTGGATGATGTATGAGTTGTTCACATTAATGAAAGAGATCTGAAGGGAGAGTGGGACGCTCTCCTGAAGGTTCAATTTTTGGTGAAAGCTGCTTCTGCAACTGTTTGAATATTCATTACAGCTTGTTAGTCTATTTTTGTGCAACTCCGGATACTTTGTGTTCAAGTATCAAATTTCAATTGGCACCAGAGCGGGTTTTCGTCTTCATTACGAAAGATCCTAGAACGTCTGTTCCCCCAAATCATGAATCAAGAAATCGGATCGATGTCCAGGCCTCCACAATTGGACGGTTCGAACTACTCATATAGGAAGTCTATGATGACAATCTTTTTGAGATCGCTTGGAAAAGGCGTGTGGAAGAGTGTTGAAAATGGCTGGGAGCATCCTGTCATGCAACAAGCACCCGATCAAGGTAAAGAAACAACAACGAAAGTCACAGTTTCTAAACATAAGGACAACTGGACTGATGCTGAGAAGCTTCAAGAAGAAGCCAACTATCGTGCCT